TGATACCTAATCAAAACAGGTCTAATCAATCGTATCTAAAACCACACAGTAAACCTAAAAAACATTACTACATAAGCCAGCAATCACACACCACACATCCCCTCCCCACCTTGGCACCTATTCCAAATCTCAGAAATTTCAAAATAATAATATAAGCAACCTAACCCCCCCCCCCCCCCCACTTTCCCATTTCAGAACTACACTAGATGGTCTGGCGGGCCAGTGTGGAACATACGCTTACAGTCGGAAAATGCACATTAAATCTCTAATTTAAGTAAGTAAGTAAGATTCAGTCACTTTGACTGACCAAGGAATTACTAAAATTCCAAAATAGCTAGACAATCACGGGAAGGTTGTTTATCCATGGATTACTAGGAAAACGGACTTTACACACCCTAGCTACTTAGTTTAGGTCAATGCAACCAGAGTAAGTCAGTAGAAGATCAAAGAGTGTCCCGAAACCACTTACTATCGAAACCTGAGTTTCGAACGAGACTACACCATAGCACAACGACGACCTGTGTTGGGGAGGGGATAAAGACGCAAGCTCCAGACAGAAATATAAACATACTGAGAGCGGACCTCAGAGACCACCGCGGAATACAATAGTCTGAGGCGCAATCAAACTGTTATATCCAAACTGAAGATGTTAGTATCAAAATAAAGCGCTGAACATAAGCTATACACATACACAAAAGTTAAGCGCCACCCACCATATTTGTGAGCTGTTACTTTTGGCACTTAATGATGACTATTATAACGAGATGTACGATTGTTATGAGCCGTATATGTAAACCTCATGTGATGCAAAAGTTGTCCCGAAGCAAGTTTTTCTTGTGTTCCAAAAGAATATGAGCAGAATTCGAATTTTACCGAAGACAAGAAATTGAAGGATTAGAAAACATTGAAAAACCTTTTTTGTCATGTAACTGTCATGATATCAGCAGACCATATCAGGTGTCACATAGACACCCTAGGGAGTGCAGAGTCTATTGCAAGACAGAAACGTCAGTAACGTGTGTATGATCCACGGACATTGACCACAGCTTCAACCCTACGCCTCATACTCATTACAAGTCGTTGAATGCTTCTCTGAGACAAAAGGATCCATTCTTCATGAAGGGCGGCTTCAATTCCAGCGAGATTTTGAACTGGGGGATCACGATGTCTGATTTTCCGGCCAATAATGTCTCAGAGATGCTCAATCGGAATTAAGATCCGGACTTCAGGCCGGCCAAGGAAGAGTGGCAATAGCTTCTTGACGCAAATAAGCCAAAACTGCCCGAGATCTGTGTGGTCTAGCATTGTCGTCCATGTAAACAGGTCTTGTCTGAAGAGGATGGTTGTCAAAATGAGGGACTACCACTGGACGAAGAACGGCATCTTGGTATTGTTGGCCATTCAGGTTTCCACGAATTGTCGCCAGCGGACGTTTGCAGCCGAAGGAGACACAGCCCCATATCATGAATGACCCCCAACCACATGCTAAGGTCTTCTGGATGTTCCTTGGTGCAAAACGAGTGTTACGTTGCCTCCAAACACGTATTCGACCATCAACAGTTCGTAGCAGAATTCGACACTCGTCAGACCAATGGATCCTTCTCCAGTTGGCCAAGTTCCATCGACTACGGGAACGACACCATATCGGACGATTCCGCATGTGCCTCTCAGTCAGTTGAAGACGTTTTACTGGTCTTCTGGCGTTATAACCAGCCGCTCTGAGGTGACGCCTTACGGTCATCGTCGAGGGTCTCTGATGGGTAATCCACTGCAGTCCTAAATCTGTTGGAAGTGGCAAATGGATTTCGTCTGACTCTCCTGAAAAGACGTCTATTCTCTCTGTTAGAGGTCTTTCTTGGCCAACCAGACCTATGCCTGTCATTGACATCATTGGTTTGACCATGTTTGACAATTAAACGAGTGATAACACTGTGATGACAACCCATTTGTCTTGCAATGGCCCTGCATGACATGCCAGCATTTTTCATGCCTATCACTTGCTATCTTTCAGCGTTCGTTAACTTTCTCCTCACCATGGCTGATTTTCAACCTCTATTGGAAGGGGAATCTCACACAGGAGCAAAATGCAACCACGTGTCTGAAACTTGAATTCACTATTTATAGGGTAGGGGAACTGCAGCAACACGTAAAGCACGCTTTCCTTGTGGTATCTGGACAAATTTGGGTTCATGAAACTATGGAAGCCTAATTCAGTCATACATCATCATATTTCGTATTTCTGATTCCGTGAAATCAAGAGACTATAAATATTGTGGCGCTTAACTTTTGTGCATGAGTATGTCTGAGTGTACAATAAATTCCCTAATGTTTGAAAATCATAGTCACAAAAAACATTTTTACCAAGTATAAGGTAGCGACATGTAGGCGATAACATACATCCAGTCAATACAAGGTATGAGAGTGCCATTAGATCCCAAGAAAATGAAATAGTTGTCCACTAATTACCAAACACAGAATGTAATGACACTGTACAATGACGACTGTCGGACTTTGCCGAGTGGTGTCGGAAAAAAATAATTGTCCAAAACAATTCTTGAAAGAAAAATAATATTTTAGGAAACATGTGGAAATCTCTTGGTGCCAGGTCTGGCGAGGTTGGGGGTAGAGGAAGCACTTTCAAACCAAAGTGTCGCACAGCAGCCGTTGAAAGTCGAGAGGTGTTAGAACAGGCATTGCCATGAAGTAGTATAAATCCAGCAGTCAGTATTCCTCGACGCTTTTCTTTGATAGAATCTCTCAGGTGAAGATCCAAATCAGCATAGTAAGCACCGGTAATCATCTTTTGATTTTCTAAGTAATCAACAAGGATCACAACCTTTGCATCCCAGTATACAGTAGCCATAACTTCCTTCACTGATCTTGATGACTTGAATTTCTTTGGTGCCGGAGAAGTGGAATGGTGCCCTTCCCTTGATTGACGTTTTGACTCGGGATCACAGTGATAGACCCATGTTTCATCACCCGTTACTAATCTCTTTTTTTAATTGAACGAAATCCTCATCTATGAGCTCAACATATTCTCCGGTCAGTTCTTTTTTCCTTAAGGTCAATTTAGAAACTGTGTCACCCAACGAGAAGATATCTTTTTCATCTGAAAATGTTCATGAATAGTTTCAATGGATCCATAGCTTAGACCTGTCTCTCCACAAGTTCAGCAATGGTAATACGTCTATCTGACAGTATAAATGTTTCTATGTCCTTGATTGAATCTTCATTGATGGATGTTGAGGGACGTCCCTGACCTAGGGTCATCATCAAGGCTTGTTCTCCCAGCTGTAAACATAACTGCCACACGTCTAACAGTGGAATAGCTAGGGCACTTATCCCCATACACTTGTGACATGCGGTCATGAGGAGTACTTTTCTCTAAAGTCGAAAGCTTGATGACTGCTCAGTACTCGTTCTTTTCCATTTCTGTGCCCATTTGGACCCCTATCACGTTAAACTGTCTGTCACAAACGGCCTCAACAGACCGAATACATTTGCAACGAACTACTCAAACAATGTACTGCATTGACTAGTTCACTTTGTTATGGCCCATAGTTAAAAGAACAGGCTTTGAACTTTTTTACCAGCCCTACGTTGTAACTTGATAATTGTATAAATTAATCTACATGACATCAGAAGCTAGATGAAGCCAGCTGTAACCATCATGTTTTAGGAAAATGCTATGTGTCGTACTGCACTGCGTGTTGAGTTTGTTTCATCCTCTCTAACTAACCTACGCTACACATGGATGCATCTCACTTTCACATTTAAATGTGTGTTCTTTTTATGCTATTACCCTGACACGTTAACATATAAACAGCCTGCATGCAGTCGTGAGATATATGAAAGGTCTTGATAGTGACATTGTGCAACATATGTATGGTTTATGGTTGATTAAAACAATTCATGTCTATGTTAGAGTTATATGGCAGTGTATTTATTGCAACTGTATTACATTGCTTCAGTAAAGACTCGCGATCGGTAAAAGCTCATTGCATTGTATTTGGACAGTGATTAGTTCTCAGGAATGTAGTCCCGTGTGATATAAGCAGTTTTGAGGAGGTTGCTATATTTAGATGCTAGTGTTCTGTGTAAACTTGCAGAAAACCGTGGACTGTGACAGAGACTGTTATCATCAAATCACACGTCTGTTCAATGTGTTGAATAACCTGCTAAATAAAACACGAATATGTATTTGTTTTGGTGTTAGTAAATATTATGTTTGTCTAGCCTGGAATACGTTAACAGGGACCGATTCGCTGTCAGATGATGATGATGATGATGATGATGATGATGAATTGTGATATTCATATTGTCATAACTTGTCAAATTGTAAATAAAACTGTAAAATAAATTATTTATATATTCAGTGTAGGTAAAAGTCCATGTAGGACATGTCAGTGTGAGGCCAATTGTCTTTTGGGGCGATGATTCTTGTTGAGAAATGTCCTACACCTAACGATTGCTGATGGACAACAACAGGCATACCCTCCGCAACTTAGCAAATTTAAAATATTTTTCTGCTCAAAAACAATGAAAAACTCCTTTGAAAATCAAACGAAATCTCTGCGAGTACGTAATACGATTCCATCTATATCATGAGCATGTGTTTTTGAATCACTATCAAATGGTGATGATACCAGGTCGACGTAAACCAGGTAAACTAGGAAACAAAAGTCTTGTAGCTTATCTCCTGCGTTGTGTGGCAGTTGTCAACGCACATGGTACTGAAATTGTGTGCCATCAGATTCTCGTGCTTGGGACTTATGATTTAAACTGTTGATGTTATTACCGAATACCGTAGGTGCTTGGAACAAATTATGGTTACCACCGTTATTTAAAATCCTTCTTTGGACATTAATGATTAAAAATTACCTTCTCTGATACATTGTCCTTTGTATATCATATATGGGATTACTTTTTAAAATGTGAAGTTTTTAATTTGACTCAGTATATATCAAATATGTTTGTTTACATCCATTCAGTTTGCCATGGGGCCTGAATCTGTCAGATCAACGCCGGGAACAGTTCACTTCCGGCAGCAACTACAGGATCCCGAGTTCCGCCGGAAGTTTATCCACACCTTGATACTTTACTTTGCATTCACAGCCCTAGTAAGTCTTGTTTATGTCCACGAATTTCAATATACGTCAGATATTTTACAGAAACACTCATAAGGAAAGATGTAATCAGATGAAGTTTCTTGCATACACAACTCGAATATCGTTACAAATTACCCTTGATAATATTGAAGTCGGCTTAAATTCGCTAATTCACTATACATTTACGCTACACTGTGAATTTACACATATATTATTACAGGGTGTATGCCGTGCCCAGCATGGCCCAGCGTTCTTGGACCTGGCCCAGATCACTGGGAGCAATGTAAAGGAAGCATCCGTCTTCTACACGTCCCTCGCGGCAGGGGGACTCGTGGGATCAGTCATCATGGGAGTCCTCATTGAGAAAGTGGCCAAGCACAGGCAAGGCCTGGTGGCTCTTTTTGTCCTACTGAGCTCTGTCAGTTACAGCGTCATACCATGGAGCAACAACTACATCTTGACCATTTGTCTATTTTTTCTCAATGGGACATTAACAGCAGCTTTTGATTCAGGTAAACTCTACTCATTTGTTGGAAATACATAGCAGCAATAAACATATATACTTGCGGAAGAAAGTAACTGTGCTCCATATAAAGTGGTGTAAATGTTGTTATTGAAAACAAGAACAATGTCTAATATTTGGTTATTCGTCTGATCAATGTTTTTAATCAACAAATTCATAGACAAACCCCATACACGGTAACAGCAGACAGATTACCACACACTAAAAGAGCCGTGGTAATCAATTCAATTAACAATGTCAGTATCGGGTGTGACCTCTATTGCTTTTGCATTGGTGAGCATTCAAATTGACGAGTTGTGTTGTCAATGATGACACCCCATACCATTACACTTCCACCCCTAAACAGACCACGTTGAGTAACGCAACCGTCGCTAAAACATTCTCTTGGATGCATGTAAACCCTTGCACGATCGTCAGTGCTGTCAAGATGAAGTGTACTAGCCCAGTCTTGTCTTCTGAACCTCAAATGTTGTCTACACCAAGCTAAACAGTGACTTGGGGTTGGATGTTGTGTTCCCTCAACCGGTTGCGTGCGGTTCTGGCGCTCATTGATCTGAACCCAGGAATCGCCCTAACCGTTAATGTGGCAATTTGGTGTCGATTCGGTAGATGCACCAACCGAATATGGTTGTTTTGTTGTCCTGATGTCACATGTGGACGACCGACCCGTGGCAAGTCATGAGTGATGCCCTTGCTGTTAATAACGTCCCCAAAGAGATGATGTTGTGTTTCGATGGAGTGAGTGAGTGAGTGAGTGAGTATGGTTTTACGCCGCTTTAAGCAATATTCCAGCAATTTCACGGCGGGGGACACCAGAAATGGGCTTCACACATTGTACCCATGTCGGGAATCGAACCCGGGTCTTCGGCGTGACGAGCGAACGCTTTAACCACTAGGCTACCCGACCGCCCCGTGTTTCGATGGACATTAAAATGTCTGGCAACTTTTGGCATTTCAGCATATCCACGACGCATACACGCTAATTTTCAGCTAGTCGTGGAATTGCGTAACAGTTAATTACGGTTAAACAATGGTGTTTTTCTTACCTCATGATATCTTCACAGTTATTGTGTGCTGTTCACATTAAAACACGTGCATGAGTGTCATGCTCCCAACAAACATGCAAACATCCAATTTATGCGCCGTGCATGAACTTGCATGTGCAAAATGAGAATCACGACTATAAAGTCGTGGAGATGTCTTTATGAATATGTATTGGAGGATGCATTATTTAATTGCAGAATGGATTGATTTATATTGAGCCTTATATGAAGCAAAGTTACTTTTTCCTGTTAGTATATTTTATGACAATATATCGCAATGGTCTCACTAACGAACAACGATGAACATTTCTCGTCATTACAACCAGAAATTGATTCGATCAAAGTAACAATAAGTTGATTTGACCACTATCTGATAACATATTGTATACTCAACCGCAAAAGAAATGTCACCCGAAGTAACATTGCATGAAAAGTTGTCATTTAAATATCTGGGTAATTTTTGTCAAAGTTTCTAAAAAATGAAATTTGATGATAAAAAAACCCAAAGCAGATCACCATAAAACCGATTACCAAAACACATCACGGCAACGGCCATGGTAACCCGATGCACGTGAGTTCCGTGCAAATTTAAATGCACATGCGTTCCCCCATTTCTTGCCCTATAAAAATCCATCCAAGTCGGATAACATACATTCGTTATTGAATTACTACCACATTCCAAGATTGACAAGACATCAGCGACACCAAGCCCTTGGACGATTGCAAGCTGAACAAACCGCCCGGCAAGTAACCAATGCATTTTAAGTCCACGTCAGGACCAGCAACGGCTAGACCACCAACCCTGCAGGTGACTGACCACGCAGTGGAAGACCAAGGGTCACAACCCGACGTCAGGATCGTCAGATTGTGCGACACCATCGTCAAGATCGCTTGGTTACTGCTGCGGAAACTGCTCGACAGATCATGGGGACACACCAGCGACACATCAGTGCGGACACAGTGCGTTGACGATTGACGAGCAGACACCTCCAATGTCACAGACCACACCGAGGACCCATTCTGACACCACGTCATCAGTGGGCAAAACAGCACCAGCATTGGCGCCACCAGCAGTGGAGACGAGTCCTCTTCTCAGACGAGAGCCGTTACTGTATCTCAACAGCAGATGGCAGAGAGAGAGAGAGAGAGAGAGAGTCTGGCGACGCAGTGGGGAACGTTATTCGGATACTTGTGTTGTTGAGAGAGACTCGTGGGGTGGTCCGGGCATCATGGTGTGGGGTGGAATTGGTCTTGCACAGAGGGTCGGCCCTGTGGTCTTCCAGAACATTGGTCCAGGGAGAGGCAATGGTGTTACAGCAGCTCGGTACGTTGATCAAGTCTTGAGACCACATGCCCTACTTCATCTGGCACGTCGCCGCAACCACGAGTTTCAGCATGATAACGCCCGTGCCTACATTGCGAGAGCGGCAAGAGACTTCCTCCAGCAGAATGGCATCAGAACCATGCAGTGGTCTGCCCTCAGTCCCGATTTCAATCCCATTGAGCACCTGTGGGACGAGATTCAAAGACGGTTGAATGACGTCCGACCAAGGCCGACAACTGCAACTGAACTGCGTCAGGCGTTCCTCAGAGTGTTGGCTCAAGTGCCTATGTCCTTCATCAACCGCCTCATCCATTCCATGTATCGACGCTGCACGGAAGTCATCAATGCACATGGCGGACACACGAGATACTGACTTGCAATGCCATTTTCTCAGAGACTAGTGTTGTGTTTCCCTTTAAGAACATTTGACACTTTAATTTAAACCTTGATGATCAGTTTTGCCAAGTTTCATCTTTTTAATATGTCTCAAAGTATGTTTTCAGTGTTTGGACATATAAGGTTTCTCATATATCCATCCATGGTGACGTTTCTTTTGCGGTTCAATATATAAATTATCAGGATATCATTCAGGTTGTTATTCTGGTGTCCCCCCGCCGTGATATTGCTGGAATATTGCTTAAAGCGGCGTAAAACCATACTGACTCACTCACTAATTTACTCAGGTTGTTATTTGTATTTGTTATCTGAATAGGCGATAGCGATAGCCTTAACTTATATTGATGTATTTGGTTGCATATATATTCAGTAGAATATAATAATATATTCCAAATATGTTTATGTAAAATGCTAAATGTAGGTTTGATGATTTCAGGTGGAAACTTTGACATGATGAGCACGTGGGGTGTAGGAGGCAAGATGTTTATGCAGATTCTACACTTACTTTTTGCCGTCGGTACGATCCTAGCACCACTCACCGTGGAACCGTTCCTTGCTGAGAAAAAAGACCACAACGCGACCCTCTGTGACATAAATAACGTACCACAGTCTTATAACTACAGCGAGGGACATGCAGTTGACAACTTGAATGAAACAAGATTCCCTATTCCGGAGAGTTGCCACCCTTCCGAAAGTCGTATTCAGTATGCATACATGATAGCAGGAGCGATCAGTTTTCTGTCAGGAATCATGATTACTGCAGAATGCTTTTTCAGTCCTCCAAACTCGAAACGGAAAACAAGAAATGAGAATCATCGAAATCCTCGGGTGCTTCCCAGATGGTTGCGTGTGCTTGTCCTTGGGAGTGTGGGAGGCCTTTATTTCTTCAACACTTCTTCCACCAGTGTCATCGTTGGCTACATGATGGCGTATTTTGTAAAGGACCTTGGATGGAGCAAGGAAAAGACTGCAAATTTGACATCGCTCTTTTGGGCGGGTTTTGCCGCCTCTCGTTTGCTATGTGTGCTTTTGGATCGAATCTTCAACCCTCGTCAGCTTTTGTATATTTCTAATAGTCTAAGCGTATTGTCTTTAGCTGGTCTCCGGCTCAGTATTTTTTATAAATCCGACCCAGGGATATGGATCTGCATGGCCCTTGCAGCAATAGGATTGTCAGGTATATTCCCAACTGGAATTGTATATATTGAAAATGACGTGATGAAGGTATCAGGGGTAGTGACGACAGTCATCTGGATAGCTGGGAACTCGCAAGGAATTCTGAACCCTTTGTTGCTCGGTTACCTCTTTCAGATGGTCTCCTACAAATGGTACATCTACCTCGCTTTAATCGAGGCCGTTTTGGCCTTCGTGTGTTTTGCGTCCCTTGTTGTGATTGTAAAGACGCTTGTGACGAAGTATGGCTCTATTGAGTTGGAACATACAGTTGATGAGAAGGACACAGAGGAGACATTTATTGAGAATAACGTGGGAAGCAATGGCGAAACACGATTGAATGTTTAGACTCAATTTATACAAATAGAATATAATGCAAGAAGGTAGAGAGTGCTACATGGGCAAGCAGACCCGAAGAGTGTTTAATTCCCTCTTTAATCATCCCTGAATATAATTATATGATGTCAACATTTGAGAGAGTGAAGATTTAAAACCTTATAAAGTCGCGTTTCAGCCATATCCCAGCATGTGTACATAATAATTAAAGGGACTCCAAAGAGAAAGCAGGTCTTGGATTTAAGACCACTATAACGGGAATGGTTCTGACAAACTGAAGATCATACTAAGGCTACATGTGTTATTAGAACCAACGAGGAGCGCGGAACCCACAAGGAGAGCAGAGCGGAGAGGAGTGCGGAGCGGTAAGGAGTGCAGAGCGGAGAGGAGTGCATAGCGGAGAGGAATGGAGATTAGCGGAGTGACTTGTATAGGAGAGGAGTAGAAATTACCGGAGCCACCTGGAGAGGAGCGCGGAACAGAGATTAGTGTAGCGACATGGATAGGAGTGCTCAGTGGAGAGGCGCGGAGATTAATGGAGTGACTTGGAGCGGAGTTTGGAGCAGAGAGGCGCATAGATTAAAGGAGCGACTTGGAGAGGAGTGCGGATAAAAGAAGCGCGGAGATTAGCGTAGCAACATGGATTGGAGCGCGGAGCAAAGAGGCGCTGAGATTAGCGTAGCGACATGGATAGGAGTGTGGAGTGGAAAGGAGTGGACATTAGCAGAGCGTAGCGGACAGGAAATTAGCCGAGCAGCTTGGAGAATGAGGAGTGGTGAGTAGTGTGGAGTGGAGAGGAGCACAGAGCGGAGTGGAGAGGATTGACTGGGATGTATGCATTATCGGCTCCATTTTGTATTCATTATCGCTCCATTATGTATTCAACATCGGCTCCATTATGTATTCATTATTCAGTGCAAGAAGAAGAAGAAAATGATTATATATATATAAATGTGTCACACATTGCATTTACAGTGGTTAAAAGCACGATAGTAACGTTTAAAAATGGCAAGTCCAGCCTCGTGTCCATGTGGCTTATGGGACACAAATGTACATAAAACATATCAGTGAAAGTATTGAAATATATGATCATCCCTTATGTCCAATAGCATAAACACCATTGCCACCAATGCTATGATTGGCAAAAAATTCCAAGCATGAGTTCCAAAGTTGATACTTCAGTTTATGCATTTTGTTTGATTGTCGTAAGTCCGAAATTGTCTGTCTACACTAAATGGGTTGGAAATATGGACATTTTCTTAGAAGAGGAAATTTTCAAAGGATTACTTGCCTTAGAATGTAATGTATCATTTCGGAAATGAAAGTGTGTTTGAATAGCTTTATGCTTTCTACTACCGGTACTAAACTAAGAGGATCATAAATGTTTCCACTGTGTGAAATATTAGGTTCACATTGCTATATTTTCACATTTACTGATACCCATGCCATCATGTCACGTATGACCTCATGAACTTCTGACTAAGCGAAACACGATTATGCAAGTTGACACAGTTCGAACAGGTCACCAGTGCAGTGTAGTGAGTGAACTAAAACTTAACGTCACATCGGCAATATTTCAGCCATGTCGTGATGAGACAAAATTATACATTAATAATACATATATTTTAGACTAAATAAAAACCTGTCATCGATGGACAGTGCAATAACTAGAATATCACAGATTCGATGTAAAACTAGTTGAGAACATTTAAAAGAATAAATTATCAGGAAACAACACAGTATAATTTTACATGTTATTTTATAATTACTTTAACCCCTTTGGAGGATACAGCCGCTAAAAATCTCAGTTGCTAATTTAATCTACCAATTAAAAACACTTATATTTTACAAAACATATCAATCAAAAATGGTCAAACAACTCTGTTTCCTTTAAAATGCAATGATTAACGAGAATTAATATTATTTAAAACATCTTTAATAGATGATGATTTGAAATAGTTATTCCTTGTGATGTAAAAAATCAACACAGTCAAGCAGGACATGCTTGATGGTGATACTTTCATCACAAAGGTAACAAAATGGATGATCCTCACCTTTCAATAAATATTCATGTTTATATCTTGAATAGCCAACACGACATCGTCGTATAATGACCTCTTCAAATCTGGACTAATAACTAAGTAGGTGCACGTGTAAGCGATAGTTGGTTTTATTACATGTTATTTGTTAATACCTTCTTGGGTGTCCCACTTCTTTTGTATCAGACTTCTGATGTAAAATCTAATTACAGATTTATAATCACTGTACGGAATTAGAGGTGGAGTCACAGATTTGTTGAGTGCTGCTTTAGCAGCAGCATCGGCCATTGCGTTACCAATGAGTCCAACATGACTGGGTAACCAATAAAAGACGATGTCATACTGGCCAGTAGCAAGATGTTATGTAATCGTAAAAGTGGATGCTCATATGAAATATTCTTAATTGCCTGAAGACAGGAAAGGGAATCAGAAAATGTGATGAACTGTTTATGTTTTGACTGAGTATTTATATATTTGAGAACTGTTAATATTGCCAATGATTCTGCTGTAAACATTGAACTGTCATTTGGTAATCTTGATGATATGCTTCTGGATCCAATGATATTGGCCCTAGCAACTGTGTCGCCATTTTTAGATCCATAGGTAAATATAGACTTGTAAGTATTGAAAGTGTTTGTTAATTGTTAATATTCTTTCTGATTATTCAGTCGATTAGTGTCTGATTTCTTCAGTTTAGTCAAGGATAGATCTATCTGAGGCTTTACAGGTTACCATGGAGGTTACATGTATCTCTGTTGGGTCCACAATCACTAGATATGTTGAGCCAACCGTCCATTCAATGGACAATGGGATTCAAGCCCATTGATTTGTGAGGAAGAAGGCAAGGAGATGGCAACTCAGTGTCAATAAAGATGAACGTCTGGTGCGGATGACAGTATTGTTGAAACAAGCAAGAAAAAATATTATTGAAACCTATCTGCGAAACAAGCGCTAGTTTGCAAACAGAGCTAACCACAGAGATGAACAAGTCACCAGCTGTGATCAGAACAACCATTGCTAGGTGATGGATATACAGTACATCAACGCAAGAGAACAACAAGTCTCGATCATCATGCGAAGCAGACTCCACACAGCGCAAAAGGCAAAAGAGCGGTGAAAACCATACAAAAGGACCACTGAAAACCAGCGACTACGACAGGCGCTGCATCAATGAAATGACAAGCAGCACCCGCCACTCGCACAATTTGCATAAAAACGTAAGTGTTTGCTTGTTGCCTGACGCCATGCCATGTTTGCCCAGAAATGAAACAACACTTTGACCAGTGCAAAGTGAGATAACATATTACGATAATTAAGCTATATAGCCCACCATGTGGGTCTCACAGGGTAACAATCAGTGAGATCTGATATCTGCTTAGGATAGAGAGAAATGTAGTCTCTCTCGAACTAGTAGAGAAGGCACCTCGCAATAGTTTGTTGTGCGCCTGAACACAGGGACGACTGTCTGTCAAAACCTGAGTTTTCTTTTGAGAGGCTTTTAAAAGGGTGAAAAAAGTCTGACCGAGGAAGCGATTGCAAGTGCCTCCACTTCGCATGGTAGCCACTGTAACTGGTGTTTCTTCAACTTCGCACTGAAGAAGCCTGCAAGTCTAGTGCTGCCATCGCTGCTGACTTACAAAGTTGCTGCAATTCTTTGTGATTTGATACAGGCATCAGTAACAATACACAGGTGGTAAGATGGACGAGGTATGGTAATAGTTTGGCAGGAGGCCAGCCCAGACAGGGCACTTTCAAAGGATTTCCTGAGATCATCAGTCCACACTAGTTTGTCAGAGGATTGTTTACCAGCCACAGCATTGTCAAGGGGTTTCATCAAGGATGCATATCCGGGCAGAACATTTCTCAGAGCCTTGTATGCCCCGATGAAGCTGTGCAACCCCCGTACTGTAGGAGGTGGTTGAACAACAAGGGTAGATATCTTGTGAGCACTCGCCTTTAAGATTCCATCAGACAAAATCCATCCAAGAACATTGGTAGATTTCGGGCTTACAACGGTCTTGGTTGCACTCAGGTGGAGGTTGTTGTGTTTCAAGGCAGACAAGACCATGCGCAAATTGGAGAGGGTTTCTTCCAAAAGATCACTCTACCATCTGGACAAAATGCCCCCAAACTCGACACATTAGCTCTTCCAGGTACGCCTCTGATCCTGGCATACCCTTAGCACAGCGGGTATAGACAGGTAGGCCCTTGTTGGGATTCACAATACCACAATACTTCATCAAACTGTGAGATAGGGCTATCTGGTAGGAAGACTTGAGCAAGTCTGGTTTGACAATAAACCTCCATTTCCCAATCTCCTGAATGACTTTATCCACATGTGGCATCAGTGTAGGTTGGGGTTTACAGTATTGGCCAAACTCTCCTAACGATGTGATCAACCGACTTCTGCCTCCAGGTTTCTTAACGAGAAAGGACATGTTTAGGTATTCAATTGTGACGTTGACCTGTTCCGGTTTGGCGAATACCCCTTGTGTCTCAAGTTCATCAAACAATGCTTGTAACATGTCCATCATTTTATTATTATACTGTGGTAAACAGCCTTTCCGTTGAGGTGGAAGTGTCGGTCCCATGTTAACCGCAGCCTTTATATCTCCGCTCGCTCCATACTCGCACTTGGAGATTGAAGGGTTGAAGACATCATAAAACTCTTCATGGAGGGAGGTAAACCTTTGACACATGTCATCAGGAAGGATGGAATCTGGGTCTATTGATACACACTTGGAAAAAGGCTTGGTGGTACCTGCAGTTGGTGGAGGGTTTTGGCTCGTTCATCACAGGATGTGAATCCTCGTGGGAGTTGGACTTGTAATTGGTCTCACTTGACAAAAGTTCTAATGATTCTTAAGTGTGATTTCATTGTCAGTTGTGTTTGTAATTTTAATCACGTGACCAATAGACATCACATCCTGACAAGGGGGCCATGTTTTTGAGATGGGAACACCCACGTTGCTAGGACTGTCCAGTCTAGGTTCCAGAGCCCAATGTAAGTCAGATGGGGTATC